CGCAGACAACTTTGGCAGTTGATATCACACCCATTTGAAAGCCAGTCTCATCCATATTATAGATATCTTGCTCAAGGATCCCATACTTCTGAATAGCATCATGAACCGTGTAAACCAGCCCTTAATAAGCTCTGGATCTTCGCATTTAGCTCGCTGATAATCGTACTTTCGGCTGTATTTAGAGCAAAGTTCTTTATGGCGCTTGATAAACCGGTTTACCCAGTTCTCCCCAATAGAAGCTTCTTGAGGTGAAGATAACCGCGCAGAAAGCAACAATTGCGCTAGATAGCGTACTGTTGATATTCGTGGAGGTAAACCACGTCGGTCCATATCAAGAATCCATGCTGAAAGTGTAGATTCTTCAGTATCTGTCAATTTGCGACAATTTGCAGTTGAATCTTTGCGAGCAGTAGTCCCATTAACGCGTGTCATAAAGGTCCTTGGAGGCACGTCAAAAGCTTTGGCAGCTGCAGTTTTTGATGGAAAAAGACCTTTCTTATAGGCTTCAAGTGCTAATTGCATACGCCCTTCTTTTGATATATCAGCCATGACGCGGTGCGTTGGTAAATCGCGATAAATCCGATGATAGGGGGTGGCCGAGGTGGTGGCCGCGCAGCTCGGTGGTCCGCGCAGCTCGGTGGTGGATTACGTTAATATTAATGGGAAATATTTAACGTGGACTTTCTTTCTTGTTTTATTTTCAAACACTAGTTAAGAAGAAACTGTAACCCTTACGCCAACATACATACATACCCTGCATTCACATTGCCCATACTAATCACGACCCTGATATGACAGATAGCCCAAGGAATAGAAAGCATCGAAACCCACGAGCACCACAAAAGAAAGAGGTAAAAAAAGAGATTATTTTGTCTAAAGTAATCTACATGTCCATATTTTCGTCATCATCACCAATCTCAATAAATACCAGACGTGTTCCATTGCCAGTGACTTGCCAGACCTGAAGAGGCTTGTTAGCACATGAAACAGCATTTGGGTAATGATACCTACATTCAATCCGGCATACTCGTCGATCGTCTGCGTCAGTTGGTCTTCCGTGAAGCCCTTGGCCAGTACTCTCTCGCGGATCTTCCTCATGCTGAGCTCTCCATCCGCGCCATCACCCACGGCTGCCGCTCCGCTCTCCCGCATACCGCGGATCAAGTTGTAAATCTTGCTGCTGGGACTCTGGTCCGTGCCAGCCTCACCATCGTTGTAGAGAGATGCCTTGCTGACCTCTACCAGCCGCAGAGCCTCATCCACATCCTCCGTAACGACCTCATTGCTGAATCGGAGACGTGCCAGAGCCTGAGACAGACGGATGATACCCAGCAGCGTACGAGGTGTGACGTGAGAGAACTGTCTCTTGCTTCCTTCGTCGCGCTTCCCCTGGCGCCGCATGCGTACATACGCGCCAACCATGTAGTCAGATATATGTTTAGGGACCACAGGGCGATATGTCCGAGCACGGGCGACATATTGGCGGACTTCGTGAGGACTGAAAACCACGGCAGTATCGCCAGTATCCGGGTGCTTGTTATGCATGTGGACGTACGTGACGTGGTTAGCCAGTTCCTCGTCCGCGTCCCGAGACGGCGTGTCGAGCATAAGGAAAAGGATATCGAAACGGGACAGCAGGGCGGCTGGAAGGTTGATGTTTTCCACAGGGGAGACCCGAGGGTTGTACCGGCCATATAGAGGGTTGGCAGCAGCCAATATAGAGGTTCTGGCATTGAGAGTCGTGGTGATGCCTGCCTTCGAGATGGATATCGTCTGCTGCTCCATGACTTCATGGATCGCCGTTCTGTCCGCATCATCCATCTTGTCAAACTCGTCAATGCAGCAGATACCGTTATCTGCAAGAACGAGAGCACCTCCTTCCAATACCATCTCGTCCGTGACAGGGTCTCTCATGACTGCAGCTGTGAGACCAACGCCGCTGCTTCCACGACCGCTCGTGTAGACACCACGGGGTGCTACTTTGCAGATGTATCTCAGTAGTTGGGATTTGGCAACACCAGGATCACCCATCAGGCAAATGTTGATATCTCCGCGGATGTGCATGCCGTCTCCCATCTCCTTGGTCACTCCTCCGATCAACAGCAGAAGAAGAGCCTTTTTCACGTCAAGATGACCATAAATCTCAGGAGCGATAGACCTAGCCAAATACTCATACATGTTGCCCGAGTTCCTGTACTGCTCAATCCGACGCAGCGTTCGGCTGTCCATTGCCATGTCATCGTAGGCCTTCTTGTGTTTAGTGATGTATTGGGCTTCCAAGTACGTGTCGGTCAGCAGACCCGCACGAATTGCTTTGAAACCCGTGTATGGGGTCGGAAGGAAAATGCCGGCGATATCGACAATATCACCGGGATTCAGCTGCCGCGTCAGACTTCCATTGCAGTGGACGGTGAGAGTTCGCGGAATGTGGCCCACAGGGACTTGATCTGCCATTTCCTGGATCTTCACCTCCTGGAATGGAACAAATTTAGACGCCCGAGTAGAAAGGAACAATTGTCCCTTGGTGTTGTTTGCTTTACACTCCGGAGAAGGGCATTCCGTCATAGGAAGGAACTGCTTGGTGGTGATAGGCTGGAAGATTTCACTTCCACATCGATCGCAGGTATATGCGTTGATCTTCACAGCGGGCTTTACGTCTGATACACGGGTAACGATACCTCTCACTGTTATGAGGCTACCGAGATGTTCTCCTCGCACCTGACGGACAGCAAGGGCCTTCGAGTCCCGTTCACTGCTGGATCCGGACGGGGTCAGGGGTTTGAAGGTGAGAGTGTATCTTCGAGTCAGTTCCGGCGGGAACATCGCAGGGGGCATCGAAGCATCCATGTCGGCTTCTGCAGCCATCGCCATGGTCTCATTGCGCTTCTCACGCTGAGACATGATAATATCCAACACATCATCCTTGAAGCTGTGCGAGGTCAGCAACGCATCCCCAACCCACGAGTCAAGACCTCACTCACGATATCTCCTTCGTCTCCTTGGGCATGACGGCATCCACGGCCTCCGAAAAGACATCAATGTAGCGCTTCGTGTTCTTCTGGATTGACTCCACTAGTTTGAGGTCTGTATCATCGGGGAGCGATTTTTCGAACTGCGCCAGAAGAAAATTAGACACCAAAGCTCTTCAGCTGACATACACGGTGCCAACTCACCGTCTGGAGATCATCCAGCTCGATCAAGATATTTGAACGTTCCCGATCCGCAACTTCTTGCAGCATCTGCATGTATTTGTGTTTCGGTTCGCGGCGTCTCCGGGCCGTCCTTCCTGACCTCTGCGCGCCCTCCTCATCCTCCGCATCGTCCATGAAATCATATTCATCGCTCGTGCGATCGCCGTCGATGTGCAGATCTTCAATTGCTTCTGTCGCAGCCGCCTCGGATGCCGATTCGAAGGACTTGAAGTGCTGGAGGAAATCCTTGAAAGCCTCCTTCTGCGCCTCGTAGTCGACCGGCGCGGGGTATTGGAGGAGAGCCATGATGGCGCCGGAGATGAAGGAAGAGACGTCTAAAAGTGTGCGCCAATATGTTGGAAAATGCGAGTGTCAAAGTGGAGGGTTATATGACCGGCCTGGACGAGAACCGCGCCGTGCAGCAGAAATCGGAGGTTGGCAGATGCCGCTGCACGGACTTGGCTGCAGCTTTGACGCGTCGCGACACGTCGCACGCGTCGAGCATTCCTTAATTGGCGCCAGTCCAGAACGGGACTAGCGGCAGAGCACGTGCGGCGGAACGGAATATGCCTCGGTCCGACGAGCTTCGGCGGGCGCCGCGCTAGCCAGGAACAGCAAGCCGCGGAGTAGATGTGGGCGTGCAATACCGGGGAACATGCGGAGTTCGGAGCTGCAGGTCATCAGACGACCATCTCTTCAGCTCTTCTGCGCGCTATCGCGATAGCTCTGAGCCGGTCATTCGAATGTGTCTGCAGCAGGAGACTGTCTACTCTCTTCTGTGATGGCTCCCAGCAGGAAACCCTCCACAACCGCCGAGGTTGCCTTGGTGCCACTCAAGAACTGTCTGGTCAATCTGCCTCCCTCGCTCGTCTCTGTGCTGGTCAATGCAAATGCGGTACGTTCGGAGACAATTTTCGCTACATACTTCGGCTGACATTTGCCTTAGACTGCGCAGAATGTTATTGTCGAGCTGCAGTACCGTTCGTCCGTCAGCTGGCCGGGCTCTCAGTCCAATGGCCCCACTCAACGATCATCGTACCTGGGGTGGACAGGAATGCCCAGCAAGCGCAAGCTGGCATCGGTGGTCAGCAAAGACGGAATCAGTGGAGGTTCCTCTGCCAGGGAACATGAAGTGGCGGTTGTTGAGATCGATTCCTCGTTCGGAAGGGTGCTCGGGTTGACAGAGGGGCAAAAGGTAAGAGACATCGAAGACGGCCGCTTCGCATGAATTTGCAATTTCTGACAACATACAGGTTGGATTGTTTTTGCATCTTGACCCTCCGGTAGCCCACACTATCAACATTGAGCCGTTGACTCCTGCAGACTGGGAGAGTATGAAATAAAGTCTGGACAAGGAGAATTTGAACAGTGGCTAATATTGTATTAGTTATTGAGCTCCATGCGACCTTCCTTGAACTGAACCTCCTCTCTCAGATCCGCGCTTTGCCAAATCCTGGCTACAACGGTTCACCTCTAGGCCAGGCAGAGCACATACATCCACTCACGTTACACCTCTCTCCCACATCGACAGCCAATATCGTTATCACCTCCCTCACTCCCGCGCCACCAGCCGCATCCGCCTTCGCCAAGATCGCGCCGGACGCAGAAGTGATTGTTGCGCCAAAAGTTCGCCCAAAATCGGCAAAAGCAAACCGAGGAGAGAGTCGAAGTACAACGAGCACCAGCCGCAAAAGTGTCGGGGGGAGAAGTACAACCAGCACAGTGCGACCAAAGAGTAGTCGCTCAGAGTCGTTTGAACGCGGAGCGGTCTATCTCAGGGGCGTGGACCGCCAATTTGTCGATGAGTGGTTCGACGAGGGCTCAGACGACCACGTCAATGATGGCTTGCGGGTTTGGATTGACCGGGACGTCCTTGCGAGTAATGAGCTTCGCGGAAGCGAGTGGGTTGCTATTTCAATCGTCCAACCAGCGGGTTTGCAAGCTCCTGTTGATCCTCAACAACAACAGCAGCAAAGAGAGCAAGATTCCAGCGAATCTGGCAAACCGGCGACCAAACTCGTTGCCAAGGTCATACCCTGGGATGACGCCCCTGACAGCCGACATGTCGCCATCTCATCTCTTTTGTGCACTGCTTTAAACTCGCCAAGCATGGTGGGTGGTATTGTGCGGGTTGAGGCAGCACCTTCCCAGCTGGCTCGATCTGCTGTCAAGTCCCTCAAGATATATCCGTTCGCATCAGATGCGTCGAAGAAGAAAGATGGGTTGAAATTCGGAGGCGACACTTCTGCTTCGCGAAATGCTTTGGCAGAGCGTATCAAGATCACTTATGGAAGCCCTGGCTCGGATGTCGGGCTTATGTCAGGCCCTATCACAGATGGGATGATCCTCCCAAAGACCGATAGTCAGATTTCCACGACCGCCTTTGAGGGTGGTATTGTTCGCTTTGATCCGCCCCTGAAGAGCTCAGACCATGAAACGACATTTGGATGGTTCCTAGGGTCGGAGAGCAAGTTCAACATCGACGTACAACCCGAAATACCGAGGCCGACTGATCCGACACTGTCGGCGATTGCAGGAGAAGAACAAATACCCGTCTCCGCGCCGGAGATGGTAGGCATCGACTCGCTTATCACTCAGAGTCTTACGAATCTGACCCGGTCATCCTCCATTCTCTTGACAGGTGGCCTGGGATCCGGTAAGACGACGCTCTGCCATCTGTTAGGGAGTCGGTTGCGGGAAGAGTATCTGTTCCACGTTTCTTATTTCTCCTGTCGCAAACTAGTCACGGATGAGACAAGGGTGTCTACTATCAAGGAGACTCTTAATAGGCTCTTCATGTCTGCTTCGTGGTGCGCACGTCTTGGCGGCCGGTCCGTTGTGATACTTGACGACCTCGACAAGCTGTGCCCTGTCGAGACTGAGCTTCAGGTGGGGGGAGAAAACGGAAGAAGCCGTCAGGTCAGCGAGATTGTGTGTTCCATAGTCCGGGAGCACTGCACTATGTCGTCGTCTGTGGTGCTGCTGGCCACGGCGCAATCCAAGGATTCCTTGAACAATATTATCGTCGGTGGTCATGTTGTACGAGAAATTTTGAATCTGAATGCTCCTGACAAGGAAGGCCGAAGGAAGGTCCTCGAAAAACTGACCAGCCAGGACAAAGCCATGAGCACACTCAACGGCCATGTTCGGAGCCAGAGCACGTCAACGCAAGACTCCTGGCTAGACCCTTCGAATCCTGGGAGCCGTCCCAGTTCCTCTGGGGCCGATGGGTTTGTCTTGGCACGAGATGTGGATTTTCTCGACTTGGCTGGAAAGACGGATGGGTATATGCCCGGAGATCTGGTGCAGTTGGTTGCCCGTGCTAGGAATGAAGCGTTGATCCGGTCTGTTCAGGACACAGCGAACTCAACGACAGTCACGCTGAAGAGCGAGGACTTTGAGCGTGCTCTGAAGGGCTTCACTCCAGCATCACTTCGTAATGTCACCCTCACTTCTTCATCGACTACCTTCGCTTCCATCGGCGGCCTCCATAGCACCCGGCAGACGCTTCTGGAAACGTTGATGTATCCGACGAAGTATGCGCCGATATTTGCCCAGTGTCCTCTCCGGCTACGGTCGGGTTTGCTGTTGTATGGCTTTCCCGGCTGTGGCAAGACATTACTTGCCAGTGCGGTAGCGGGCGAGTGCGGGTTGAACTTCATCAGCGTCAAAGGCCCCGAGATCCTGAACAAATACATCGGAGCGAGTGAGAAGAGCGTGCGAGACCTCTTCGAGCGGGCCCAGGCTGCCAAACCGTGCATCTTATTTTTCGACGAGTTCGACAGTATCGCACCCAAACGTGGACATGACTCGACGGGAGTCACGGACCGCGTGGTGAACCAGCTGCTGACGCAGATGGACGGCGCAGAAGGCCTGTCCGGTGTGTACGTTCTGGCAGCCACGTCTCGACCGGACCTGATCGACCCTGCGTTGCTGCGACCAGGCCGTCTGGACAAGTCGCTGCTCTGTGACATGCCGTCGCATTCTGACCGCATTGACATTATCCGGGCTGTTAGCAAGAAGCTCAAACTGAGTGACGAGGTGCAGTCTCGCATTGGCGAGATCGCCTCTCGGACGGAGGGGTATTCGGGAGCTGATATTCAGGCGGTCGTCTACAATGCGCATCTCGAAGCAATCCACGACCTGCTGGGTGACCGCTCGTCAGAGCCTACGGGGCCGAAGAAAGCTGCATCAGGCAGTGGTTCCAAATCTACTGGAAGCGACCCATCCAGCAAATCGTTCATCCAATTCCTGTACTCTGAAGAGGAATCCAATGCTGCGTCTGCGAACCACCACCCTACGAAGCCCGCGCTGACGCCACCGGCCGTCGTGGCCGCCAAACTCGAAGCCTTGAAACAGGCTCGCCGACGGCAACGGCAGCTTGAACACGGAACTGCCGACGCCTCTGGTGCTGAGGCCGGCGGAGGAACAGCAATCACCAACGGCGCGGCAGCCGAGAACCGCGACTCTCGCGAAGAGGTCGTGATCGAGTGGGAGCATATCGAGCGCTCGCTGGCGACGACACGCTGCTCGCTCAGCGAGCGCGAGCGGAAGCGTCTAGAAGCCATCTACCGAGAATTCGTCGTGGGCCGGAACGGCGAGATGCCGACTGGCGAGGGGGCGCGCGAGATTGGGGGACGGACGAGTCTGATGTGATGAATATTCTTCATTTCATTTCACTTCATTTCATCTCATTCTGCCTAGAAGAGTTTTTGTGGATGAATATACCCATCAGTCAGGTAGTCAGTCAGTCAGTCGGTCAATCAGTCGACGGCTTGCTTGTACTCATTGCCGTGTATATACCTATATACCTATCCATATATATAGAAGCGATGAAATGAAAATGAGGCAATCTCACTGAATATCTTCACCACCACCACTTCCTCCTTCTTCATCTCTCTGTGCTTGTTGGAACTTAGTATATGAGCATTATGTAGATTGATCACTTTGCCATAGCATTCTTATCCAAGTATGTATATCAAGATTATAATAACTACATACAACCAATCCAACCTAACTCAGCTCATTGGGCTATACATAAGATCCCAATCAGAGTGTCATGATCCATCATTATATATATGTATATGCGAATAAAT